ATTGCACATGAGAAGACTCCTCCCAAACATTCTACTCTGAATGGTTTAGTAGAGAGGATGAACAGGACATTGATTGAAAGAGTTAGGTGTATGCTTTCTAAAGAAAAATTGTCTAAGCATTTCTGAAGTGAGGCATTGCTTACAACAGTACATGTTATTAATCTAAGTCCTACAGTTGCTTTGAACTTAGAGGCACCAGACAAAATTTGGTTTGGCAAGAATGTTACCTATGATCATTTGTTCGTGTTCCAGAGCATGAAAAATCAAAGTTGGATGTGAAGAAATGGCAATGCATCTTCATTGGTTTTGGTCATGATGAATTTGGCTACAGGTTGTATGACCCAGTTGAGAAGAAAGTTGTTAGAAGTCGTGATGTGCAATTCATGGAAGATCAAACCATTGAAGACATTGATATGGTAGAGAAGTCTACATATAAGAAAGATGACAATGTGGCTGATGTTGATCCAATTTGGTTATCTATTAATGATTTGAATATTGATGTTCATGATGATGAACAACATGGTGATACTGATAATCAACAGGTTAAAGATGGCTTGGATGTTCCTATTGATAATGTTGATGAAGAAAAACATGTGTCACAAGATGAGAGTTTTGGTGATGTACCTGAGCTACCTTAAGTTCATCCTAGAAAATCTAAAAGGCCAAAACAACCTTCTAAGAAGTACTTTGCCAATGAGTATGTGATGTTGACTGATGAGGGAAAACCTGAATGTTATGAGGAGGCCATTGAGAGTGAAGAAAAGCAAAAATGGTTGGATGCAATGTAGGATGAGATGAAATCTTTGCATGATAATCACACTTACGACTTGGTGAAGTTGTCTAAGGGTAAAATAGTCTTAGAGAATAGGTGGATTTTTAGGGTGAAGCAACGGAGCAATTTTACATCTCCCAGATACAAAGCCAGATTAGTGGTGAAAGGATTCAGACAAAGAAATGGTGTTGACTTCAATGAGATTTTCTAACCTGTGGTGAGGATGTCATCCACCAGAACTGTGTTAAGTTTAATTGCTACTCTGGATTTGGAGGTTGAGCAGATGGATGTGAAGACAACTTTTCTTCATGGTGATTTGGAGGAAGCGATTTACATGAAGCAACCAATTCGAGGCAAGGAAGACTATGTGTGTAGGCTACGAAAAAGCCTGTATGGTTTGAAGCAGCCTTCAAGACACTGGTATAAGAAGTTTGAGTTTGTTATGTGTGAGCAAGGCTACAAGAAGACTACTTTTGACCATTGTGTTTTTGTCAGGAAATTCTCTAAGAATGATTTCATTATCCTGTTGATGTATGTTGATGACATGCTTAATGTTGGGAAAGATGTATCAAAATTGACAGGTTGAAGAAGCAATTGGGTGAGTCATTTTTCATTGAAAGACATGGGAGTTGCTAGAAAGATTCTTGGTATAAGTATCAGTCGTGATAGAATAGAGAAGAAACTTTGGCTATCATAGGAGCATTACATTTAAAAGGTGTTGCAAAGATTCCAAATGGAAAATGCTAAAGTTGTAAGTACTCCTTTTGCTACTCATTTTAAGTTGAGTGTTAAACAAAGTCCTTCAAATGAAGTTGAGAAGATAAATATGAGCAAAGTTCCTTATGTTTCTACAGTGGGTAGTTTGATGTATGCAATGGTATATACAAGGCCTAACATTGCACATGATGTCGGTATAGTCAATATACTTTTGTCAAATCTAGGTAGATAGCATTGGGGTGTTGTGTAATGGATTTCGAGGTATCTTTGTGGTATTAGTGGTTTGAGGCTTTGTTTTGGAGGTGATAAGCCTATTTTTGTGGGTTACTCAGATTCAGATATGACTAGAGACATTGATTCCAGAAAGTCCACTTCAGGCTATTTGGTTCAGTTTGTAGGGGAGCGTTGGCTTGGTAATCAAAGTTGCAAAAGTGTGTAACATTGTCTACTACTGAGGCAGAATTCATTGCATTTACGGAAGCGTGTAAGGAGTTGTTATAGGTGAAGAAATTCTTGTAGGAGCTTGGTTTTGTGCAAGGTAAATACTTGGTTTTGAAGCTTGTTGTGAGATCATCGATTTTGCGAATATCTCCACATAGTTGTAAGGGGGAGATTTGTTGGGTTATTGGGCTTCCTTCCTATGTGAAGAATATGCCCAAATAATGTGAATCATTATGTTTCACTTTGCTTTAGTGGAGATGAGTCAGATTAGTTGGGCACATTAGAGTTATTTGAAGAGAGGGAAAAACCAAGTGAGAGATAACAGAAGAGAGAAAGTCTTTCCCGCATAACACAAAATTTGCATTGGTATTTTTGTCGTTGTGAAATTGTTCACCGTTGGATCAGACTGATTTTTGGACAGTGGGTTCCAGACGTATGGTTCTTCATTCTGACCGTTCGGATCGTCAATCAAAGGTCTAGTTTGGGAGAAAACAACATCCCATCAGTAGCTCTGTTTAGGAGAACTTTCATCTTCTTTGTTCTCATTTGTAAGAATTTATGCTTAGTTAAATTGGCTTATTGAAAACACTATTTAGCGTTTTTATTGAAAACTTTTTTGTATCCTATTATTGATCATAGTGGATTTTTTCTTTGGTCTAGATAACTCGTGGTTTTTATCATTGCATTAAGGGGTTTTCCATGTTAGAAATTGTTATTGTCTCTTTGTGTTTTGGAGTCTGTTTTTTTTCTATTTGTTTTTTGGTATTTTTTACAAATTCTTGTAAGAAAAGAGACTGAATTTCTGTTGTGTTATTACTCTTTGTTAAATTGTTATTGTTTTTTTTTTCTCTTTTTCCCATCATTTTAATCACTCTATAATATTTCTTTATCTGCTTGTAGTTTTATGTAGGCATTGTTGTTGGACTTATATTCTGTATTGTCATTTTTATGTGAAGTTCGCGCTTTGATTTCAAGCTAGCAGAGTCTGAGAGAAATAAATATTGTGTTAGAGCATAAAAGAAGGAGGCATAAGCTCATGGTAGGGTTATTCTAGAAATCATTTGTTAATTGAATTCGTTGTGATGGATTTTGCAATAAGAAAATATAATATGACTGTTATATAAAAAAATCAACGTAATAAATAGTATTTACCTTGTCATTATTATAATCAGCATAAAAAAATATAATTTTTTTATCTGGACTGTGGATTATTATTCTTACCATATAGCTAAATGTCCTAATTACCTATTGTATAGGACGATTTTCTATGAGCTGGATGTGAATGCTTTGGTTGACTTCTCAACATCAACATTTGCGAATTTTTTTTCTCAATTCATTTTTAAAAAGTACGTAATTTGTAAACTTTCTGGCATGATTTTTTCAATCTTTTGGAAAAAATAAAAGAAAAGAAAGGGGGAAAATGCAAGTGATACAGTTCATTATTTATAATTCGACATAATTCTCAAACGTAGAATGAACACTTAAAGATTCTAATTGAATAAATAATATTGAGAGTGTTTTTTGGTAATTTAAAAAAAGTTACAATAATATATGGATAATTGGCAATTCGTTATCCCTTTCTTCTTAAGGAGTACGAAATGATAAATCTGTTAGATACAACTAAAACACAATATAAATTTGTTGTGACATTTATTTCAATAATAATTAATAGAATTTTTGAAATAGCAAATGAAGTTTTGGAGAGAAAAGAAGGTGCAGTAATAAACAATGAATTGCGTGATCGAAACGAAAGGGAAAAATAGTTGTTAGAGCTTTGGATCCGCTAGCTTTTAATTAACATATTACGACAACTTTACTTGCAAAAAGTGCTTAAACTTTGCGTCTAAAGTCTTGTTTAATGATATTTAAATTTTGTGACTTAAAGCATTCACAGCGGCGTTCAAGTATGATCCAACAAAATCCAACTAGAAGCAGCCTCCATTTCTTGTGTTTGTGGGCCATTCTCTCTGTTTTTTTACATATATTGTTTCATATGTGATATCACTAAAGAGACCTTCGTAGAGAGGATGGTTTTTAAATAGTTCTTATATTTTAAAAAACTAAATATGTTTTTAACTTTTATCTTATCATATATTTTTATTTTTATTTTAGAGTAAATACATTTAAAGAATTTAACAATATTAATTATTTTTACATATTAAATAGTTTTTCGAACTCACATTTAAAATAAGATGATGGATAAAACAGATAAATAATTTAAATATTAATCTAACATATTTTTTTTATGCATAAAAAAATTAATATAATTGAATTAAAATGGTTATATTTATTATTTTTTAAGTTTGAAATCAAATTTTATTAAAATTTTTGATAAAAATAAATTTTAATTTCATATTAAAATGTAGGAAAAGAAAACATATTTAATTTTTTTTAAAACTTGATGATCACCTTACTAACCATTTTTATATATCTGTTACGTAAATTGCAAATAAAGTGTTTTAAATCATTCTAACTTGGGGTCCAAGTACTTCAACTCTATTCGTTAACATCTAATAATGATGAGCACAGTATTTTACAATATTAAACTAATTTTTTAAATAGGTAAATACTACTCGTCAGTACTTCTATTTAAGGAAAGATATTAAAATATGTAAAAATTGTTCTCATGTGATTTTTTAACCCTTCTCATAACTTGTAATGATATTTGTTTTCAATAATTTAACAATATCCTTAAAAAACTTCCAAACATAAGTTAGTTATCATTTCTGACACTTTGCATAATAATTATGGAACATAAAGTCTCTTAAATGGTTAAGTTGATTGGAAGACTATGGTTGGTAAGTCAATGATAAGCTATAGGAATGGAGGGCATTATAGTAATGAAGTAAAGAAATTACATAATGTGCAGTCTATCCAGCTTGATCCAACCGCGTACAGGGCAGCCGTGTCCTTAACGAGTTGGCACTTCACATTTGATATGTGAAACTTGAGACCGAAAACAAAAACTACTAATCTGTCTCTTTCTCACGCTACGCGTCCAAAACCCCCCCACACCTTTCTCACTCTTTCTCTCCCATATATATATATATAGTATATATGTGGAAAAAGCACCCAACATCTTTCATCATCATCATCATCATCAATATCAGCACATTCAAAAAGAGTTTCCACTATTATATACGCATACACTGATCTAGTATTCATCAGGGTTGTGTTGTGTTTCAACAACATTAATTGAAGAAGACTTGGCGTTTACTGATAGTTATAACAGCTATCATGGGTTTGAAGAAGCGTGGCTTTGGTCATAGAGCATGGAACCTGCTGCGAGTGACATTGCTGTGGGCACGTAAAGGTGGGGTGTTGAGACGGAGGGTAGCGATGGAGCTGCGTCTTGTTCCAAAGTACTTGAAGCGTCTCGGGCACAGTAATACGCCGCCCAGCCATATTCATTACTTTGAGCGGGAGCTGTCCTTCGACAAGACCCCCATTTTCCATGTCAAGATGTACCGTCCAACCTCTATGCGCTTCCACTTGCCTCACATTCCTTGTATTAACCCACAAGTTGATTTTGAATATGATTTTAACGACGACGACGATGATGATGTTGAATATGATACTGTGAGAAAGAGTGCCCTCACGGCTGCAGGAGACCGTGACCAAGAATTTTATCATGATTATGAAAGACGCCTGGAGGTGATGTCTTGTGGTGAACAGGAGGAACAACAAGAAGCAGATGCCCAAGGGATAGATAAGCGAGCCGAGGAGTTCATAGCAAAATTCTATCACCAAATGAAGCTGCAGCGCCAGATTTCTCTTCTACAATACAATGAAACACCCAATAGAGACACGACTTGTTGAGCAGTTTTACAAAACTACGTGCGGCTTACTTCATTTTTCCTTCTTTTTCTGTTGAGATTTGATGCCACTGTCAATGTTAAAACATTTTAGTAAAATAAATGAGAGAGTACTTCGGGATTCTGTAAATGCCAGGAGCTACATTTGAGTTCTACTATTTACATTTTTTTCATGATTATGCAATAAATGCTACAGAGCTTGGCACTTGTTCAGCTCCAACGCTGTACAGTCCAATGTAAACATGGAAATAGAATGGTGACTAAGAATAATGATACCAAATTAACCGGTGTTTCAGCTTGGCACTTGTTCCTCAAAATTAAAACTACGTGATCCTTAGAGCAACTCGTTAAATTATCATCAGATCTTAAAGAATAAATTAAGTTTCTAATACATAAATGTATAGAAAATGTTAAATGTAGAAAGCCGATTTTCAGAAACAGTAACTATGTTAATCATATGAAAATAGCGATAAAAAATTGAGTTTTAAAATCGTATGTACGAATCAACCATCATGTCATAAATTCATCATTATAGTTTCATCCATAAAACGATTTCTAATTTCCAAAACTCTGTAAACAAACCTTCCAAAATAATTGACCATGAATTAGCTCTTGGTTTTGTTGAATAGAAAATACAAAAGCTAACAAGCGTAGATACAATGAAAAACATCACGTATATTTGGGGTAGCATGGTGAACTCATTAACCTCTGAAGCGGTAATACAAAAGTCCGTAAATGTCAGAGTTAACGGTCAGTAATGCAAAATGTGACTGCTTAAATAGTAGCAAAATATGTGCCATATTCATATTGAATTATCATCAATACATTTTTATTCTGCAACGAAGGTCGAAAAGATATCGAAAATGAAATATTACATTAAAGGACATGGTATTACATCAACGGCAAACTACACCCACCGGAAAGTGTTTGGCCACTGCCCAGATATATTTAGAGCGTGGCCAAGACTTGCCGATATAAGCAAAAGACCCTATGAGCCCTACAAAAATACTATTCTAGCTGCCATCCTTGATTGCACTATCGTTCACAACCGAAGATACACTAGTATTTGCAACCTCCTTTAAGCATCTTGCCATAAAGTTGATATAAAAAAATTAATGTGAGGTTTTCTGATGATAATAAAACAATGGATGTGGAGGTGTGAATAATATTACTCGGCGACTAAGCTATAGTGTAAGCGTAGGCAGCTGCAAATGTACAATATTACTCCCTTCCCTCTCCCCAACTTTTTTCCCTCTGGAGAATCAGTTTACAATGGGAAGATTAAAATATTCTAGGAGAGGTTCTTCTAGTAATAAAATCAAAGATCAACTTCCATTTTGTCTACTAATATACGCTTCCAATTTCCCTGTTGCGGCCAATATGAGACCTACGTGCAGCATCGTAAAATGTTTAATAGACAACCAAAACATAATTGATGATAATAGGTATGAGTTAATTGAAATGAGAAAGGGGAATTAAGTGTTTGAAACTACCAACTCAAAACAGATGGTGAAAATAACTTTTAAGTTCATTCATTATATGGTCCTTAAGATATAAAAGACGAGTTAGTGAGTAGCCAGTACCTAAAAACAAAGCAGATGGCCTAGCTGGTCGTGATTTGAATTCTGGATGGAATTGCACGCCTACATAAAATGGATGACTTGGAAGCTCTAAGATCTGCACGAGAGAGAATTTATGAAAATCCACAAAAGTAGAGGTAGGGTGCAGAAAAACAAGTGGAGAAAGAAGCAAGAAGCAAATTCGGTGTAACGATAAAATATAGGAACACAAAAACAGGATAACAAATGCAACCACAAATCAAACTGAGATTATCAACGTTTGTTAATGTTGCTTCGCATCAACATTACTCAAGCTAAAAACTTACATCCATTCGTTTTCCACTTTCATCCTTCCCGACAAATTGAAGTCCAGCTTCTTCCAAAGTTCCAATCACATCTGGATTTACCTGCATTATGTTGACGTCAAATAACAGAACATGTACCACATCACACACATCCCCCCAAACGATCGCAGTCACAAAAAGAAGCTTCACAATCAAACCTCATATCTGTGCCGATGTCGTTCATCCACATACTCTGAACTACCGTACCTAGCAATTACGAACAAGAGCAAAATGAGGAAACATTGTAGAACTGTAAAAAAAATTTCCACAACACTTGAATTTTTCAGATCCACATTCCTTTCAAAATATTCAGGACAAGTAATACTCGTTAAATTCTTTTTTCAATGTGAGTGTGTTTGTGTGGGAGGGTGAAAGGGGAGGGAGGGATTTTCGTTGAAATCAAACTGATGATCAAGCACCGTAGTACTTGAATAAACCCAACCTCATTTATTGACATGTTTCTTTCGTAGTAAAGCAGGCCTAGATTAAGACTTAATATTGGTCAATAGCCCGGCACCTCTTAAAAAGCAGTATAATTGGGGGACCAGGTGAAGATGAGTTATTTCAATACAGGGATATCTGACCTGCTTTTTATTTATTATTTCATCGACTTAAAATACTACCTAAGGGGATATAGCTAGGTCACATACAGCTTGGAAGTGATACAATCAGATGTCTGTAAGAGTGTTCTCCGAGATCCAAGTCTCATGGTACTTCCCATATGCGTTCGTGAACCCTGTTTATGACAGAGTCATTACAAACAAACATAAAACTAGAATAGGGAAAACGGGGAACTGGGGAGCTCAGACACATACATACCTCTGGCATGAAAATCACAACAGGATTTGGTGTTTGGGCATCAAACTCTACACTGTTTGCTTTTTCCCAACACAAAACCTTTGAATGAATGTTGAATTATAATGTTAAAAACATGTAGTTAAAAAAGCCAAACATCACAAACAGATATGTTACTTACTGATCTAGCAAACTCAATTACAGAAATTTGCATTCCCAGGCAAATCCCCAGGTAAGGAACATTGTTCTCTCTAGCATATTTGGCAGCAAGCATCATACCTCTCACACCACGATCTCCAAATCCCCCAGGAACCAAGACACAATCTGCGCTCTGTAAGTGTCAATTTTAAAAAATGGCTGTCGTCAGAGTCAAAAGCAATGTGATAGATTCAGGGGGAAGTATATGTTAGAAGGAATAAGGGTAATAGACAGTTATAACTGTCTGTGAGGTGGGTTGTTGTATGCAGACTATTATATATAGTCTGTACAGGAGTTGTTTTCAGTAGTTTTTTGGAGAAAATTGTAAGTGAAAGGAAGGGAGAGACAGGTACTCCCGAAAGACCTGGGATTTGTGTGTGTACCAGTCACTAGATACAGAAAAAGCTGTCTGGTTTTCATAAGAAAATCATCCAAGAACCTGTCTTGGAGTTCTTTCCAGTGTTAATAAAATCTGGGTACCTATCACAATGCATATTTCCTGGTACTGTATCAGCCCAATTTGAAACATGATCCAACAGTTCACTATCGATACTATACACAGAAAGCATGTCATTTTTCCCCAACTAAAAAGCCTAAAATCTAGCAGAGGGTAAGGTACATTATCTAAAAGTCTGAGGTTTCAGAATTTGCCCACCACCATATGCTCAAGATATAATTTTTGAATAAATTTTAACAAATTGTACGTTATGCTAGGGCGTTTACCTTCAAAGTCGCCCAGGCTGCAGCATGTGCTTCTGGTGTCTGAATAGAAACACAATAAAATAAGCCAGACATTCTTCAAAGTGACAAGTAACCTAATTTCTTCAAATTCAATTTGAAAGAATCATTACTGATTTTGCACTCTCGTCTTCTAGGTCAGACGCTGCAATCCAGTCAATTGATGGCTTAAAAGAGCGTGCAACACAAGCATGCAGAAGGGCCTGTAAATAATTAGGCATTATTAAAAACTATTACACAAATAAATAGATGTAAAATTATTCAGTGCATTTCAATGACAGCCCTTGTTTCGAATTGTTAAAAAAGACTTGCAAAAACAAAATTTATTGTTAAATGAAAAAGCCACCACGCTGCAATGGAAGTGAGTTAATGCTCCTAAATTGTTGTTCACACTTTAATTATATAAAACAACAAAAATGCTTATTGCTACCAAAAGGAAATAGCAGTTCTAAGGATATGGTAAGAATATGAAATTCAGATTATTTCTCAAGAAAATGACATTAGATTTATGGGGGAAAATCAGACTAAAAGCAAAAAAAAAAAACAGAATTTTAAATGTTATTGTCAAGTTGTGCATATATGATAGATTCCCTATTTTTAAAACCAAGTCAATAGCTACATAGTCAATATAACAATCTGCCATTAAGTTTTCAGTTAAATATACTGTCATCGTGCCCCTCTTTCGATAAACATGAAATAAGAGATAAAACACACCTTTACAACCGATAAATATGAATCTGTTAGACCAACATACTTTCCGACCATTGCAATCCTAACCTGTAAATTTCAAGTGCTATCATGATCATTGCACAATTTATTATAAAATTTTGGAAAAAGCATTGCAAACTAAAGATGTAATACTAACAGATTCAGTAAGACTGTCAAAGGTCTCGGCCATCTCTGTCCACTGCTGCAAATCAGGAGGTGTAGCTTGGCTGAAAAAGAATTTAGTAAGTGTGAAGAAAAAAACAAGTATTATATATCCAGCATGCCTAAGTATGATCAACTTTATTCCGAATAATGAATATATTCTGTCTCACTCCACTTATGATGTAGGATGGCAAGAGGGGTCATTTAAGCATACATAGATTACAGTTCAACTGTTCATGCAATTAAGCGCAATTACTGTTGTTGACACTGCATGTTATTGAAGTAGAATAAATTTATCAATGGTTTTGACTTTGAAGGATGCAGAAGAAATAAAGTTTATATCATCCCAGTCAAGGTTTGAAGACTTAATTTATCAAATTACATAATAACTAGAATTTTCTTCTATCTTTCTTAAATCAAGAAATAGTCTACTTTCTAAGAAAAAAACTCACTTGAGTAAGTTAAGCTGCTGCAGAATTGAATGATGAGCATTTTGGTTCTGAAAATAGCAGCCAATCATAAAAAAATCCACAAAATATAAAAAAAGAAGCCAAGCTTCAATGCAACCAAAAGATTTATAAAAAACCCACTCTCAATAACAGGGGAATATGCCAAATGTTTGGTACATCATGGATGTTCAGAATATTCTCAATCTGTGAAAAAGCATACAGAAATATAGATCAATTAACCGATAGAACAAAACTCTCAGACAACTGAGCTGGGTTCACCAACAACTTACGGGAACATGGCAAAATTTTGAGAGTTTTTCTTTGGTACTTTCTAGAAGAGGCTGCCAAATTCAAGAACGAAGTATTTCAGCAGCTAATTAACCAAACTAGCACCAAAGACAACAGCAAAAGTCAAAACAGAAGGAAACATTTGAAAAACACTGAATTACAGTTAATTTTAGCAATTAGAAAAGATGGAGAATGTGAAATTCAAGTAATCACCACATTGTCATAATAGTATTATTAAGGTAAGAATGCAGCTTAACATGATAGCTCCAATTGTAACAACATAATTTCCCTGGGGAAGAAAGAGCTAAACAAATTCAACACAAGCTCGAGTAGTTTTGCATAGTACTCAGTCTGTCCTTTTTTACCAAGAAATCATATTTCCTAAAACAAAAACACAGTACCTTGGGGTAATGAAATGGGAGAGAAAAAGACCGAGAGAATATAGGTTTTAAGGTTCTTTTCTAAGTCATTAGGCTTCCTTTATCTATTTACATGTACAGAAGAATGTTGCATGTACAAGGTCAAGCCCAACATCCCAAATACTCAATCTAACAATATTCATCCTTGTACTACCCTTTCTAAAACTTAACCACAATTCTAACAGGATCCAATGCATTAGTGCTAGAATAATGAACAAACACACCAAACCAAGAGTGATACTACCTTGCCTCATCTAAACTGTTAAAGAACAACTTTGAACATCATTATGTAGGCCTTTATATAGACTGCATTAGAGCAACTACAATGCAAGGACCATGTCAGTCAGCGGGGATTTTGTTATAAGACCTGAGTCTTAAACTTAAGACTTTTGAAAAGACCTTTGCATTGGAGATGTTTTACATGTTAATCTGAAAAACAGTTTTTCATCCACTGAACAATAGATTAATGGTTAGACAAAAACAAAAATAAATGAACATTTATCAACGTGACTATGACAAAAAATATGAAAAGCGTGAAAGTGTCAACCACATTCAGAAACATTATTATCATCAGATTCTTTATCAAATAGTATTACTAGGGAACTAGGTAAAGCCAATTTTCTGACTTTTACCCACACATTTAGTGAAAGACCCAACTTTAAAGGTAAAATGAACTTCCATTAAGATGAGCATATTAACAAATATTATCATAATCATATTTGTTGCTAAAAGTGGAACCTGAGTTTTGTAACTGATGCTCGTGTCAATAATTTCCTTGGCTTAAAAGAAAGAAAATAATAGTGTAGTGTGCAAGTGGGCATTATAAGATTAAGTGAGCAAGAATTTTGTAACTGAAGCTCATTTCGTAATTCCTTGGCTTAAAGAAAGAAAATAACAGTACAGTGCGCAACTGAGTACGCTAAAATTAAGTGAGTAAGAAAAATATATGTACTGATACTCCCAAAAAATTCAAGAGCGAACCTTACAACACAAATAACTTTTTAAAATGCTTCCCCGTACTAAAATGGCAGAACAATATACCTCAGCAGAGCGACTTGTTAAAAGATGAGGTGTCAATCCCAATGCTCGCAGTTCCCTGACGCTATGTTGTGTAGGCTTTGTTTTCTGGAAGCAGAATATTGTACCCGAAATGAGAAAAAAAATCAATTTAAACTGTTTGCTGCGTTAATGCACAAGTAGTTAAATAGTACTTGCTCTCCCACGACACCCAACACTGGTATCAGGCTAACATGGATGAGACAGAAGTTATCAGGCCCTGAGAAGGAAACATGAGAATAAAAACAGAAAAAACGTATTATAAATACTATGTATCAAGATAACATTTCATTGCTATAATAAAAAGTAAAAATTGTCAGCCAAAGAAAACATTTCATTGCCATACTTGGACTAATACTTTTTGTTAGCTTGCCTTCCATATTGGGGTGATCAGGGGAATTTTCAAAAAGATTTAAAAAGGTTTCCGAGTCAAACATGAGGAAAATTATCAGAAATTCAATAATAATAAATAATTTGGGACAATACAAATCATAGCCGTAAAGGGGCCATAACGGTACTGAGTAGCATACACAGAAAGAGAGGGAAACGCTATATTGTCTACCGTTAGTTTAAAAGAAAAATATTCTATTTCATACCTACTTGAAAGGACAATTGCCGTAGAGCCTCAATAAATGGCATAGATTCAATATCACCTGTAGAAAGACATATATGATCCCGTATTATTGATTGAAGAAGATGGTGCAGTTTCAATAGAGGCATCATCCCCAAGTAAAAATCTTACCAACAGTGCCTCCCAACTCAATCACACAAACATCCGCAGGGCCCTCTTTTCCGTCCACGGGAATCACGGCAACGGACTCAATCCAATCTTTGATAGCATCAGTGATGTGCGGAACCACCTATTTTGAAATACCAATGACTCAGCAAACCAGTCCTTATTATCCATAGTCCCATACAAGTAAAACAAATATGTAGCAACAAGAGTTAAATGGCATACGTGCGGTGTATCACCTGAACAGTTTTCCCAAGATAATCTCCTTTACGCTCCTTCTCAAGAACAGACTAGTCACAAGAAACGAAACCGTTAAGCCACAACAGCAAAATCACTCTCCAGTATCCTGTAACTGAGTTCCATAACCATTAGAGGAAAAGCACTGCAAAAGCAAGCATGCACCTGGTATATTTTTCCAGTGGTGATGTTATTATCCTTGGTAAGCGTAACATCGAGGAAGCGCTCGTAATTTCCCAAATCCAAATCAACCTTTCTCCGAGTAAAAACATAACACAGTTGAAATTGAGCACCAGCTCGGCGGAAATGAAATTAAAGCATGCAGAGGTGAAACAAACACTGGAAGAAGGAAAAAAACCTCTCCGCCGTCGTCGAGAACAAAAACCTCCCCGTGCTCGAAGGGAGACATGGTGCCAGCGTCGATGTTCAAGTATGGATCTGCATGGGAGCAGTTGAAAGGTGAGAATTAGTAGAAAAGCAGTTGAAGGAAACAGAGGAAAGAGAATAAATGGAGAAAAAGAGAGAACCGATTTTGATGGAAGTGACACGAAGGCCACAGGCCTTGAGAACGACGCCGATGCTGCTGGCGGTGACGCCTTTGCCAAGGCCACTGACGACTCCCCCGCTGATGAGCACGTATTTCATTTGGTTTTGGGGGAAATGAGAGAAGTTCGCAGACCAAGTGTTTGGGTTTATACCCGAGCGGGAAGGAAGGTTGAGACGGTTATGGAATGGAATGGGTAGTATGCATTAAGGGACGAGAGTGGTGAAGCTGACGGTCCCTTTCGAAATGGTATTTAAAAAAACCTAAAGGCAAAAATGAAAAAGCGTCTCAACTCAAGTCTCGTCTCCACCTCTTCCATCATGTTGGACTTATAGCCGCCTACCGCCCACAACTGTCCAACTTGCTGCTTTGCGCATAATAAAAAGCCAAAATAAAAAATTAAAATAAAACGTTTTAATATCAGCTATATCTATTTTTGTGTTAAAATTGTTTTTCTATTTTATTGTTAATAATACGTTAATATATAGTAAAAAAATACCAACGTAAAAAATAAAACATAATAAAGAAGAAATGGAAAATGACTTTTGTACCGGAGGATCCCAAGACGGACAGTAAACGAGCAGTGATGAAGTCGGACAGTTGCGTATGCTAAGCGAACTCCCGATCAATTTAGGTAAAACACTAATTAATTAATGATTGAGTTGTGATTAGGCTTTGAGTAAGGTCTGGCTAATCCAAAGCGCATAATCAAAACTATAAATACAGGTCAAAGGTAAGAAGTAGACATATTCATTAATTACGCATTTATTACAACACTCAAATTACCAATCGGACTATTATTGACTTTGGCATCGGAGCACCTTTGGCAAGTATACCTCTGGTCGGTGGACAGAAGATTGGGAGAGTATTAACCAGACAGAGCTTGGAGGAAATTGTGTAGGACTTAGGTGACTCGACCCTATACCGAAAGATTTTGACACCCACCATGAGGCCGAGTGACTTAGAAGACCCATGCCTGGTGGTGATGAAAAAAGGGTTCAATACCTCCTGGTGGAAGCTAACACGTCATATAACGTTCTCTTTGGCCGCCCATGCATGAACGCGTTCGGAGCTATAATATATACCCCTCACTTGACCATGAAGTACCCATCAGAGAAGGGAACGATGTTCACCGTCTGGATTGACCAAAAGACGGCCAGAGAATGCTACGCAGCCGATCTAAAGCTCTACCCCAATCGACCAGGCGAAAGACGGTCCGGTCGGAAGTGGCTATGCAGATCTTGACCGCACACCAATACTGATGATCGGATCGAACCACTAGGAGAATTGTGTCCTGTTAAGGTGGGACAGGGCGACCAACAGGTCACCAGCATGGCGAGAGGTTTGGAACCTGAGGTAGAGCGGGAGCTGCGTTCTATCCTATGGCGCAATCGCGATCTTTTGACGTGGATGGCAGCGGACATGCCCGACATCCACCCTGCAGTAATGTCCCATAAATTGGCTTTATTGAAAGAATCAAAGTTGGTCGCCCAAAGGAAAAGAAGGGTGGGAACAGAGAAGAAGGAGGCGATATATGGAGAGGTCAGGGAGCTGAAGGAGGTCGACTTTATCAGGGAACTGACCTACACCACATGGCTGGCAAATGTGGTCATGGTCAGGAAGGCCATGAGGAAATGACGAATGTGCACAGACTACACCGATCTCAACAAGGCGTGTCCTAAGGACGCTCACCCGCTCCCCAACATTAATGGCCTGGTAGATGGTGCCTCTGGCCATTGTATGCTCAGCTTCCTTGACACTTACTCTGGCTATAACCAGATACCAATGTACGCCCCGAATCAAGAGAAGACAACCTTTTTAATTGAAAAGGCAAACTATTGTTATGACGTCATGTCATTCGGCCTTTAAAACGCGGTAGTGACATATCATCGTTTGATAGATAAGATCTTTTGCATACCAGATTAGGTATTGCATGGATGTATATGTAGACGATATGGTGTTACGATCAAAGTCCAACGGCGAGCATATACGAGACATGGAGGAGGTTTTTAAGCAAGTCAGACGGTATAACATGAGGCTAAACCCTGCTAAATACACTTTCGGGGTAGCAATTGGAAAGTTTTTGGGGTTCATGCTAACCGTCCGGGGGATAGAGGCCAACCCGAACAAGTGTGCGACCATCCTTGAAATGAGAAGCCCGGTCAACCTCAAGGAAATTCAACGATTGGTCAGACAACTCACCTCACTCTCTCGGTTCATACCTAAACTGGCGGAGCGCATTCGCCCGGTGCTCAGAAGAATGAAGTATGGGATACAGAGTGCGAAGGAGCGTTCGGGGAAGTGAAGAACGTATTAACTAACCCCCCGATCATGAACCGACCGTTGAAAGGAGAAGACTTGCATATATACCTTGGAGTGTCAGACGGAGCTATTAGCGTCGCATTGGTACAGGAAAAGCCAGATTCCCGACTCATTTACTTTGTGAGTAGTGTACTCCAAGACACAGACACATGCTACCAGCAGGTGGAGAAGGTCGTGTTGGCACTCCTCAACGCGGCTAGGAGGCTCCGTCCATATTTCCAAAGTCACCAAGTGGTTGTACAGACGGACCACCCCATCTCAAAGACCTTAAGGAAGCCCGACCTTGTAGAACGGATGGTCGGCTGGGCGATTGAATTATCAGAATTCGGGGATCCGTGAAGGGTCAACATTTGGCTAATTTTATAGTAGAGCTACCATAGACCCCCGTCTCCCCTCCCTCGTCGGTGAGTGGAACTTGTATGTGGATGAAGCTTCTGGGAGGATGGGCGGGGGCGCCAGAGTGGTATTAGAGGGGTCGGGTGGTTTCCTATTGGAACATTTCTTGGTATTCAAATTCAAGACGTCGAATAACCAAGCAGAGCATGAAGCTTTGGTGGCAGGGCTGGAGCTAGCTTGCGATATGGGAGCCCGAAAGGTGATCTGCCGAATGGATTCACAACTGGTGTTGGGTCAGATGAACAACGACTTCCAGATCAAGGACGACCACCTCTTTAGATACTTCCACAAAGCTAGTGCCTTGATCAAACGATTCGAATAAGTCAACATCAGGCATATTCCTTGTGAGGATAACTCCCGAGCAAACATGCTGTCCAAACTCAACAGTGGAAAGGAAAAGGGACGACTCACCACCGTCATCGGTAGGTGTTGTCGGAGCCATCCATAGAATGCCTGAGCATTAGTATGTCCGGCTCGGACGACTAGCAAGTTGAGATCCAAAAATTTATGGAGCAACAAGACGCTGGACATACTGTTCAGCCAACAGACGCTCAGAAGATCGCGCAGTATGTTTTGGTGGGCGACGACCTTTACAAGAGAGGACATTTCACTCCCCTCCTCAAGTGTCTAGCAGAAGCGAGGCGCGTTACATACTGGATGAACTCCACAACGGTATCTGCGACTTCCATACCAACCATCGCACATTGAAAGCTCGGGTTGTCCGGGCAAGATATTACTGGCCAACTATGGAAGAAGACGCCAAGAACTTCGTCCAAAAATGCACAAGTTGTCAAGCTCATGCTAACATCTCCCAAGCCCCATCAAGCATGTTGCACACTATAGTCTCCCCTTGACTGTTCGCCTAGCAGGGGTTGGATATTGTAGTGCCCTTCCCTCCAGGGAGAGCACAAAAGAAATTTATTCTAGTAGCTATCGATTATTTCACGAAGTGGGTAGAGGTCGAGGCCCTCGCGACCATCACGACCCAACAAGTGTAGAAGTTTATGTGAAAGATAATATGCTTGTTCAGCCTTCTACGGACGATCCTGACGAACAATGGCAAGCAATTTGTAGACAAGAAACTGGGACAATTCTACCAAGGCTTAGGGATAAAGCACGTTACAAGCTCGGTTGAGCATCCCCAAACGAATGGCTAGGTGGAGGCCGTGAACAAGACAATTGTAGCTGAGTTAAAGAGGAGATTGAGGGAGAAGAAAGGCACGAGGGTGGACGATTTCCCGGAGGTATTATAGGCGTATAGATGCACCCCCATGGGACGATCGGCGATACGCCTTTTAATCTTAGATATGGCACTGACATCATGCTACCAGTCGAGTTAGGGGAACCCTTCATAACGGTTGAAAATACCGTTATCTGTGATGTAATTTTGATACTAAATGCTTTTCTACTTAGAAACTTGCTTGAAATCATGATTTTTTGTTAAGTTGTGTGAATAAGAGAGTTGAGGTTGAACTTAATGATTTTATGACTAAATTCCCCTGTTTTAGTAGGTTAATGAAGTGATTTGGAAGAGGAGTCAAACTATGAAGAAGTCGGAATGCAGAAAAGTCAACCAAAGTGGAGAAAAGTCAACCAAAGTGTAGAAAGGTCAACTAGAGAGCAGAAAAGTCAACTAGAGTCCAGTTTTCTTCCTAAACCGCGCCTGGGCGCCCCTCAAGGGGTCTTGAGCGCCAAAATTGTACCGCACACCGCCTGGGCGCCCCTTTTGGGCGCTTAAGCGCCATAAAGTATCGTTTGACGCCCGGGCACCCCATTTAGGGCGCTTGAGCGCCAATGACATGGGCCAGACCTTGTTTCTGTTCTGTTTTCGCTCTATTTAAAGGACCCAGACGTCCTAGGTTTTGTATCTTTGGCTGGAGGAGCGCAACAACACACTTTTTCACTCTTTGGAGGAGAATTTGGATGCGGGGGCTTCCATTTTCTAATTTTAGGGTTTTCTATCTCATTCTTCTCCATTGTTCATCTAGTTTCACCATGTCTATGATGAACTAAACTCTATTTGTTATTGGGGGATGATGTAACCTTGTGAACTCTCATGTATTTGAATTGATTCTTAATAACATATGCTTTTTCATTAATTGTTAGAGTAATTCATCTGTGATTATTGCATTCTTTGTTTAACCCATTCATAGCGTGGTGTATGAATTGCATGAGTGCCGGGAGGTTCCTTACAATTCAGGTTCTTGTTGAATAACTCCCAAGAGTAATATTCCTTAGGGATGAGGGTATGAGTCTTGGTCATCTTAAAGCTCTTGATCTTCACATTTAATTACTAGGAATGTTAGTAATTGCATGAACTGGTGATTAAGGACAAGCTTATTTCGACGAGGGATCGGGTTTAAGTGATTTAGTGAGTGACGTTAACATTAATGCATAAAGAAGAATTCTTACATACATGAGAGGGAACTTGGTGAAATCTAACCCCAACAACATACTCATCTCATATTACAAACAACATTAGTTCATCACTATGCTATTCTGCTATTGATCAAACTGCATTCATATTTAATTTTCTATATTTGCATATGAAACCAATGATCTCGTTTTCTTTAAGTCTTAATTAATCAAGTTATCACACGACTGTCTAGTGCCGAGAG